AACTCAGAACCTCATGAAGATTTCAGACACATTGTGGTTAGCGTGGAGCATAATGTATATAAAGATAAACAGTTTCATTATCAGATCAAAGCTACGTATAGCCTTATAGGAGGCAGATTGTACATAAAATTAATGCTTGTACGAATCGGGAAGCAATGTGTTTCACTCACAGAAGGCCGTGAAAGAGAAGTTGAAGTTGCCAATTGAAATCTATTCATATCTTCGTCCTCGTCCAAATGTAATTTTAGCCTCCTACTAGAAGTTTCCGCCTTTTCAACTTCATTTTGTCCACTAATCTCAGGTGTATTTCTACCTTGCTCAGCATCAACTACTTTGGAATGTAGTATCTTCATCAAATGATCAAAGTCCTCCCTGCAAGTTAATACAAAACAATTAGGAATAGACAACTGATAACAGGGTAGAGATAGTACGTGACAATCTCACAATAAATTGATGACACATGGGAAACTTACATGTTTAAGGTAATTTATTATTACCTGCATCCCAAAACGAACTTCACAAAAAAGAGAGAATTCCATTTTATACTAACTTTTCCCATTTCTCTTCTTATCCCATCAATCATGTTCTCAACCCCAATAAATAGGTATAATCTCTGACACTACAAATAAAATGTTGCAAAGAGCCAAGGAGTATAATTCAACCTAGCAGCAAGCCCAGCAACTATACCTCTCCAAAGAAAAGAAAGAATGTTCAAGAATACAGAGATTCGTGATACTAACATACAATTAATAACGGGAACTATTTTCAACCAGATGTTAATGGTGCAGAATACTGCATTACAAAAAGGAGCACTGAGCAACAAGAGGTATTCATATATTATGGTTAACTCATGAACCTTGCGGATTAAGAGACCACTATCCAGACATGAACAAAGAGATACTATCCAGACATGAACAAAGATAACTATTCAGACATGAGCCACATGTACCAAGAATCAAGCAATTAACATTGTGAATAAAGAGAACATTAACACTTCAGAGCATTATGTACCTCCAAAAAAAAAAAACTCACTTAGAGAATGTCTTTCCTTTGATAATCTGCTCAATGTCAGGAACTCCACCACCTGAACAGCCTCCACTTTTATTTTGTCCATCTTCATTAGTAATATCAAGCTTTGATTTCCCTTTGACTTCACTGGGGCCAACCCCAACAATTGATTTGGGAACAGCATGCTGGAATGTATATTTGCAGACAACAGAGACAAAACACAGTTAAGCTCATATTAAGGAGGTAAGAAAACTCAAAACAATTTCACGTTTCAAGGCTCAACATATCACTAATTTATTATAAAAGGTTCATAATCTTCATATTTTGACAATACACATTAAGATTAATCTAAAAAGATCCCACATGAGTACATGACTACAATTTCGATGTGAATTGTGTAAGCATTTGTAAGAGGTTTGGCCAAATCAGACTAACATGCACCAAAAATTTCTAAGCTTCACGCTTTCATTTCCAACATGGGGATGATGACTTGCAATAAGTGAAACATCACTGTAGCAGGTGTCCAAATTCCAAAAGGCCAAATAACTTACTCTTCTCTCCACCCACCCACACGGCCACACACAAAGAATAATATACAAGTACATTAGTCCATCCCAAAAAGTTAAGTTCTATATTAAAGTTCAGAAGATATAACGTGCAATCAGTCATAACCATGTGGCACAGACACATGTGACTTTCGATAGCAAAAGCCATATATGTATAAGAACAAATGCATAAGATTTACAAAAAAAACAAGTCTTACATTCACTAAACAATTCTCTTTGGAATCTTCAACTTCTTGATCTTCCTCTGTTTGCACCTCATCAGCTACAGTTGGGGAAAAAAAAAATCATTAGGAAAAATAATGGGATGTAAAAATACTTGAGAGCACAAGTCTAAAACAAAAATCAACATACAAAGTGAGATTTATACACGTAATAGAAAAGAAATATTTGAGAGAGAGAGGGAGAAAGGGAGTAAAGAGAAAGGTATAAATCCAGCACATTGATAAAGAATGCAACCAAAACTAACAGTATATGAAACACCACGTACCAAAGTTCACCTTTATCGTGAGCTATTGATTAAAAAAAATCCATGTTCTTATATTTCTTCTCCATTCTTTACTAACGAAGATCCCTTGATTAAAACTCTCACAATTGATTATCTGAAACCCTCTTAATCCAATGGCATCAGACCAGAAATAAACTCACAAGTTGTTTGACTACATGCTGATTCTCGGCCTCTCAATACAATGAAATTATATCAAGGCCTTTTGTGACATGAAGGCAAACAAAAAAGGATATTCAGTAACAAAATTCTAACTTGTTGAGCCATGAAAAGTTGTTCTGTAGCATATGATTTAGATCATAACTCATTTTTCATGCTTTAATAATCACCAATAGACTATAGAATATATACTTTGGCTATTGAAGACTCAAAACTGAAACGCTTGACGAACACACTCGACAATTTAAGGTGAAAAAGTGAGTCTTGATGGTCATTTGAAGACGTGTCTCTTTTTTTCTTTTTTTTTTTTTTTCCTTTTATTCTTGAGTGAGAAGCAGCAATGAAACAATCATCAATTGTTTTCATGGAGGAAGGGAGGTGGAGAAGAGAAGAAGAGGGAGGGCTGATGGAGGATAAGTAAAATGTAAATTATTTTATTATTATTTTATAGAATAATGAGTTTCAAATTCTGTTTTATGAACCAAACTTCTAATCAAGGTATGGGGTTATATGTAGCTACCACTCATTCCAAACCCACGGGTTTAATACCTAGCCCTACACCTGATTCCACCCATTCCATAGTTAAACCAAAAACCTCCTTGCACTACTTCGTGCCTTTTACAATTTTGGCAACTGCTTTCCTATCGAGAAGCACAACAACCACATCTACACCACCACCAATACGATGCTGAATTTAATAAAAACTAATAGGGTTGGGTATAGGGTATCATGTCAAATCAAAGAATCATTCTCTTGGCTATACTCAACTATAAGCACTGCTTAACCCAGCATCACTCTTACTCTGGAAAACATTTATTAAAACAATCCATTCAAAGGTACATACACACAATCACTGCCTCTTAGAATAAGCAGTCACTAACTCCTCCACCAACATGTACCAATGAAGAACTGACCAACTCGAAAACCCCAGTTCCCACACAATAAATCATCACCACTAATGTTACAACACAGCAAAGAATGGCACATAACATCTCACTTACTCAACAATAAAAGTTCAGTAACAAGTAACAACCAGTGCGTTCAAACTATAAACCTATAGGCGGCTGGTGTCCAACACGAGTACCAGAGTCTGAGTAACATAGCCTAAGGCGGCATTACTATAGTAGCAGCTTAATCTTAAATTCTGGAATTCAGTCAGCAATAACTCAATCATCCAACTAGCATTATAAATCAACCTCAATATTAATCTCATACACGCAAATCCGTGTAAATAGATAATCAAAAGCTACCCTTTCATGGATTGCATAATTACTTCAAAACTAAATGAAAATTCAAAAATAGGCCAAAAATCAAAGAACAACCATCAAAACTAAACAGAGCAACATGATTGATAGAATTTGCAATACGAACCAAAAACCCTAGGTATAAACACCAACAAATTAACCTAAAACTATCAATAGAAAACAGAAATTGAAAACCTCGATAGAAAAAACCCTAGGATATCAAACAAGGAAGATGAATTAATGGAGGAGAGAGAGAAAGTACTCAGTACCGATTTCAATGGAGGAAGGAGCAGGAGAGAAGAGAGAAGGGAGACCAGAGAAGAGGCTTTTAGCGGGGTCCACAAACCTCGAAATCCAACGGCCAGTACGAGGTGGTCGATCGTACGGCGTCGCCGGTGGTTTTCTCTCTCTTCGAAGCTTTCCGCCGCCGCCTCTCTCGCCTTCTCCGCCATATAACTCCGGCGCCGTCGCAGAGGAAGGTTCGCCGGCGTCCGCCATTTGGGAATTTTATGAGAAGAGCGGAAGAGAGTTTTAGAGTGTGAGAATTTTGTTAGTCAAAATTGAATACTGTATTTGACTATTTTTTGTAGGATAAAAGAGAAAAACAAGTTTATCTCATATGAAGTTGATTTTTATTTTCTTTGACATGGAACTATGGAAGTTTGAATTATAAATATGCATGCATTACACAAGGTAAAATTTAATTTTTTTTTGCAAATGTAGATATTAAATTGTGAGATGAGATTAACTGAATGGTGGTTAATCGGGGCATATCGAGGATATACTCATATACATGGTTAAAGATTAGAAGTCATAGATCATTTATCAATTTATGTAGTGGCATGGGGTCAAATTTAGATTGAGTTATATACGGGTTTATTATGTCTTTGGGTCGAATTTGAATCGAATCAGGTCCATTCAAGTTTTAGATAAGCTCAGGTTAATATTTAATCAGTTCAGGATTTTAGGTTGTGTTAAGGTCTAGTTTAGATTGAGTCATTTCGAGTTACTTTGGGTTGATTTCTAATTATACATTCGATTTCAAACCATGTCATTTTAAGTTGAGTTGAGATTTTAATCAAGATTTTGAGTCGAGTTTGAATAAAATCGTCACTACTGGCTAGTGCTTTATAGTTTATACAAACAATATTCATATTTTTTCAACTTGTAAGTTTTATTTAAAGAGAAGTCATATAATATTTTCTTATTGTTAATAATCTTAATTCTTATGGAGTACCACTTAAGGAAAAAACTAAAGTTTTTTGTTTTTTTTATAAAAAAAAATACTCTTTAAAAGTTTTTCTCCTAATTAATAGTCCGCTAAAACTCTTAAAAGTAATTCTCATTATGCCTTAAGAATAGGGGAAAAAAAATGTGATCATAATTTCCTCCTTAATTAACTCATCCTCCAATAACTCTCATTCCCACATTTCAACACTTGAAATTTCCTCATTCCTCCCCCTAACACAATCCATAACATTTCTCCACCAAATATACCATACCACATCAAAATCCAAAAATATGTCAACCTCTCCCAACTCTCATCCCACCTCCCCTTCCTCCACCACATCCTCCCCAACACACCCTCCACCAATCTCCATCTCCACCACCACGACCGCCATACAAACCGCGGCTTCCACCTCTTCCCCAACTAAGGTGCAAGCCGCCCTCGACTCCTTAACCACAATCCTCCCTACCCCTCCCTCCTCCCTCACCTCCACCTCTACCACCAGCACTTCCCCTTCACCCCCCGCCTTCGTTCTCTTAACTTCCCCCGAAATCACCTCCCAAATCTCCTCCTTACTCCGCCACCCTTCCTCAGGGTCCGGCGACAACCACCTTTGTCGTTGGCTCTACGACACATTCCACTCCTCCGACCCTTCCCTCCAAATCATTGTCCTACGCTTTGTCCCTCTTATATCCGGCCTTTACCTCACCCGCATCACTCACCGTCCACGCCAACCCTTAGCCGGTTTCGAGGCCATCCTCCTAGCCCTTTACGCACACGAAACCACCACTCGAAACAACCACCCCATCACCGTAACCATCCCTGACCTCTCCCACCCTAGCATCTACCACGAAAGCTCCTCCCCTCAACGTAACAACTCCACTGACCTCAACATTGCCGTCATCTCCTCCTCCCTCGAACCCCACGGCACCATACGATCCACTCGTCGGGCGAGGATCGTAGGTGTTGCCCTAGAGTTATTTTTTGGCAAGATTTGTGTCATGCCTACCGAGTCTAAGCTCGATTTTTGCGAGTTCTTATACCATTGGGCCGGATCACTTAACAACAACGACAACGACAACAACGACGGGCAAGGGAGGATATTACTACCGTGGGAGTTGTTAGGGCCGTGTCTTAGAATACTAGGACATTGTTTGTTAGGAAAACAAAAGGAAGAAGAGTTACTGTTACGTGAAAAAGGATATAGGGCATGTAAAAGCTTATATAATAGGGTTATGCATGATGTTAATCCTAAAGCAATTTTGGCTGTTGGTAGTTTGTTAAGACTTGTTAATATGGAGAAAGAGTTAGATGAGGTTGATTATACTGAGATTCAGAGCACTAGGGTTATTTCCATTTAATTTTTTCTATTAATTTGTAGATTTATATTTTTTATGATGTTTAATTTTGGTTTTTGAATTAATATTTAAAATGATTCATTATCTTTATTGTGATTGTTGTGGAACAGATTGGAGGAAAACTCTACCACTTTATTTAGTCTGCTAACATATGTACTTCATATTTATATAACAACGCTTTCTAATATTATTTAAATCAAACTTTTACTAGTGTAACATTTACATTGACATCTAATAAGAATTTAAAGTACATACTCTTCTCTGGCTCTCTCTTTTTTAAATGACAATGTCACACATGATATATGATACGAAGTACACTTTACATTGGTGGAGTCATGTATATACAAAAGAGGCCGCAAATGACAATGTTACATGATACTTGACAAATGAATTGCTGGTAAATTATTCAAATCCCAAAGACACCATTATCATGCACAAATGGTATCTCTAATCTCTAATAGCCATTTTCCATCTATATATTCAACCTTTGTACGAGATAATCAATTATGAGTATTATTATTAGGAGCAGCAAAAGCCTATTTGTAAGGAGATAAACTCTCTTTAAGATAACTTTGTGGTACCTTGACATGACCTTGATCAAATATTCCCACTTCATGTGATTTCTAAAGTAATAGTAGTGCAAAAAATTGTTATAAAAGGCCATGATTAAAGGAAGAACATAGGTCATTTTAAAGTTATTTTCAAACCCAATCAATTTATAATTATACTAGTTTTGTGCCCCGTGCGATGCCCCCGTTGTTTATTGAATTATAAAATAAATTTTTAATCTTTATACGATTTGCTAGATTATGAAGTATATTATTTTAACCGATTAGTATATATTATAAATGTATGTTTAACGCTTTGAACTATTTCCTTTGCCCAAAAAATATTATGATACAAAAACTAATTTATTAATTTTTAAGAATTATAATTTAATAATTTTTTTAATAAAATTATAATTGAATTTGTACATTTGAAATATTGGTATTTTATCGAAAATAAAACTAATTTTATCCTAAAATTATATCCAAATAGAATTCTAAATTTACTTTTTTTATTTTATGAGGTCTATTTAAATCTATCCAACGTGGCGCGACACTTGGCAAAAAGTTAGAACGCTAAATGTCGCAACCTCGTGACCTGACTAAAAGTTTAGCTTTATATATTAGTTATATGATTTATTTTTCGGTTCTAACGAGTCACAAGGCTATTATAAATTTAAATAAATAGAAGACCTATTGGAATATTTAAATTTGTTACATACAAAGTATCACACAATATAGGTAGTCGGTCTTATTAAGAATATCAATTAAAAATAAATAAATGCGAAAGATATAAACTTGTGACACATCGTACAACATAGTTAATCGATCATTCGATCTTATCAAAATGACTACGGAGAGAATAAAAGTGCTGAATAATTGTAGACAAAGTACAAAAAATTCTTGGTGTGAATGTGAACTTGTGAATTTGGACCAAAATGTTCTCATGGTCATCTATAACTTTGTACCATATTAGTCAGGAATATCGCAAGCAAGAGTATTTCTAATATCGCCCATTCAATGGCTGACCCCACTTAAGGAAAAAAAATAAAGGCATTGAACCATAGTTCATACTCCACAACAATATATCATAGGTCCATAGGCATAAGCCTATAACGAATTTCTCAAAATCCATCAATCAATTCTTAGAATTGAAATCACTAGAGCTGTCGACCAGCTATATTGGCCAGCCAACTTGGCGAATATTTGCTACTCTATACTTTCTTATAAACTAACTTAAAGGCGTCAGTATAGATGTCAATTATCTTAGTTGATTAAAGTTTTGGGAATGATACCTAAGACCTGACATCAAATTCTATCTGCATCATTGTCCTTGTGGCTGTCTCTATCTCGTATATACAACTTCTAACTATATATGTTTAGACGGCCTCCTTATGTATAATACCGAAATTTTAAGTACTGAGAAATTAATTTTTAGTTATTACGCTAGCGTGACGCATAGCTTAGATAACACATATACTTGTAACTCACAACGATATCTTATGTTTGTCTACCATCAGTTTAGTCATTATAATTATGGTGTCAATTTTCCATTTTGTGCTTTATGCCAATACTCGTGTCCAATCCCTGTCCAACCTAAGACCTAGCAGTATCAAATATCATTCCATTTATATGCATGATATATACTAAACTGCTCATAAGTTAATAACTTTCACCTTCAAGCTAAGTCAAGAAAGTGAACATAAACAGCTCAGAGTAGAAAAGAGAGAAAAACAAATGGAAGCTATGAAAATTGCTGAAGTAGTGCAGACAAGTGAGCCAGTAAAGGACACATACAAAATAGCATACATTCTACATTTCTTCCTAGGAGCCGGCAATCTTCTTCCATGGAACACGTTCATCACAGCCATTGATTACTTCGCGTATCTATACCCAACAAAGCATGTCGAAAGAGTCTTCTCAGTGGCTTACATGACTTCCTCACTAATTGTCTTGTTACTGATGATAAAGGGCCAAGGAAGCACCATGAGAAGCAAAGTTAGCTTTAGACTAAAAATGAATTTTGGCTTCTCCATGTTTGTTCTGTCTTTAATGGTAACTCCAACAATCGATTGGGCTAAAGGGTCGTCATCCTGGAAGTCTGATGGGAGCTTCCTCGCAACTGTGGCATCTGTGGTGGTGTGTGGTTTAGCTGATGGATTGATTGGAGGAAGCTTGATAGGTTCTGCAGGAAAGTTGCCCAAGGAGTATATGCAGGCAGTTTTTGCTGGAACTGCTTCCTCAGGTTATTTTACATTCCAACTCTTTTCCTTAGAATAATGTAAATTTTTATTTGGCCCTGTACAATGTAAATCTGGAAACTCTGAAAATGGAAAATACAGGAAAAAGGTGCAAAATTAAAAGTAATACACAGTAATCAACAGAATCTGTTCTCATAGACTGCCTGCTTCCAAGAGTGGAAACAGGGTTAGCTGGCCAAATTTAGCTTACTCGTAAGTGGTAACTAGTGAATATACCACATACGCGAGTGGAGAGAGGTTTCTATCAATATACACAAGCCTAACCTGAACAATTAGTGAGCAAAGTTGCTCAACATCATCACCATGTGTCTAAGTCAAAGTGTCTAGACCCGAATATCTAGTATGCTGGATTGCTGGAGTACTCTTAAAAAAAACGCAAAGTGCAAATTAGTTCTAATTCTGGTTAAAGAATTGGAAGTAAACTAAAGTATACACAATTACTAGTTACACAAATAATTAAAGGACCTAAGAACCCTCAAAGCTCGAAAAGAAACAAGTAAAATAATGTGACAGTAGTTATATGTATAATGAAACTTATAATACATCATGTATGTATGTGCAGGGGTCCTAGTTTCTGTTTTGAGGGTCATAACAAAGGCATCGCTCCCTGAGAATCCAAGAGGTTTACAAACAAGTGCGCATTTCTACTTCATCGTGAGCGCCATCATCGTAGTGGTCTGCACAATCTGCAGCAACCTGCTGTTCAGACTCCCAGTAATGCAACAGCATTGCAACAAGCAACTATCTCAACAACACAATCACGATCCTACAACTTATAGGCCTAAACTTTCTGACATTGCCAAGAAAATCCTACATCCCGCAATAGGAATCCTATCAATTTATGTTGTTACTCTATCAATTTTCCCTGGATTCATTTCAGATGATAATCATAAATCTGAGCTGCTTAAAGACTGGTACCCAATTTTGGTTATCATGGTCTACAATTTTTCAGACTTAGCCGGAAAAACCCTTACTGCTTTGTTGATTCCAAGCAACATAACTAGAGTGACATGGGCATGCTTGGCAAGAGTCGTGTTTTACCCTGCTTTCAGAGCAAATCTTCATGGACCTAGGTGGCTTAAGAGTGAAGTTTTTACAGTGTTGCTGACATTTTTGCTTGGTATAAGTAATGGCTATCTAACAAGTACCCTTATGATTCTAACTCCGAAATCTGTGAGCTCGTTGGAGGCAGAAACTGCTGCTGTTGTCATGGCCATGGCTCTTGGTGTTGGCTTGGTTGTAGGTTCAATTCTAGGTTGGCTCTGGATCATATGATAGATGATCTATTGTTGTATTGGCCCTAGATCATATTATAATCTATAATATGTATCAGGTTTTTCGTACCAAATTATGCATGTCTTGTCTTACATTGTAGTAGAAATGAAGTTTTATCAGCTTGTTACATTATCTTTATTCTCATTGTAGTATAATTCATCAATTAGTAAGATTTACTATCTCTATTTTTTTTAACTCACTTTTATTTAATTTCATAGCTAGCAAACTCCCTTTATAATCTTACGCTATACTATTTACACATTTTCATGAAAATCCATAACTTTATGAACTTGTAACACAAGATGCAAATTAGGGAAATGAAAAACAAATAAGAAAAACTACTGCTCCATTCAATCCATTCTGCATTTATAAACATAATACATAAACATGCCTACAATAGGCTCTAAAGATATTGATAGTAGCTAAAAACCATATAATTAGATATTGCTAGATTCACTTCCTCGCTAAGAGGGGAGGAATTTAATTTGAAGCATGTCAATATGTCATTTACTTTTTCTGTTTTAAAATAAATGCATTACTTTTACTTTTTAAATATTAATAATTACCAAACAACTATTTTTATGTGAAATGTTTTACATGAATATACGAGTACTGTACAAAATAAGGAATACTTCAAAACACTTGGGAAGAGGGATATAATGGTCTTCCCACAAGCACTATACCATTTCCAAGTAAAATGTTGGAATAGCTCCTGCTGTGGCATTCATTACTTAAAACAGCCCAAACCCTGGAATCCAACTTGTTGATCTCTGTTCCTAAACAACTCCCCCCCCCCCTCTTGTCGAGGCTACTCTTTGTTGGATCCTTCACAAGCTCAGAGGCTCAAAAGTCAAAACCATCTTTGGAGGCACCCAAAAATCCGGTTTATATGTGCTTCTACACTCTACCCTTTAGCGATATCCTTTTGCCACTCTTATTTTTGTGTTGGGCCGATCACTTGATCAGATCATGAGCCATCTTAAAATTTTAACCCCAACTGACATTACAGGGGATTCTTATCTCACACAATAGCAAGTGGAAAGATCAAGCAGCAAGGGAGAATAAGGTTAAACCTACATAACATAACTGCAGAAAGTATGTCGAAAGCATACCAGAGCTTGCTTGTCCATGCTGGAGTGAGATGCTGGAAAAGCAAAGATCTCTACTCTTACGCACCAGTCCAGTGTAACTGCATTAGTGGATTTTGTTACCCAATGACACATTTGCAATTTCAGTTGTAAAGAACTTTAAACTTAAAAAAATCTTGTACCCAAACTGCATAGCTAATCGCCTAATCATGATATTTCAAATTGGTCGTACAGCAGAGGAAACAACTTAGCAGTATTTTGACACACATTTCAAGTAGTCATATGAAACATCTTTGATCAGAGGATATAGAGATTAGGAGATGTAGTTTCCCTGTTATCCTCGTACATACTATCTGGATTATATTTCTTCACACAACGTACACAAGCATTTTTTAAGATTGACCTGATAGTTTCCATTAACTCATTATGCACCATGTAAATGACATCCCAACTAAGTAAATTTACTAGTATCCATTTATTCTATAGACACGAACAATTTATTCCAGAATCAGGATAGTCCAAAATGGTCAAGTAGGGTGGTAGTTTATCACTGTTACCTCATATGGATGAAAAATACTTACTTTCTCCACAAGATCTTGCATGAAATTTCTTGGCCAGTAATGTCTAAGAGGCACGTCAAATGAGTCCTGAAACTTGGGGTGATTGACACAGCCAGTCCAGATTTTCCCATAAAATTAGATCAAAGCATCAAACCCAAGCTTAAGCTCTATCTCTTATGTTTCGTCACTTGAGAATCCACATTCAAGTCTCATTGCAGCCAAAAGCTCTGGAGAGACAGCTAATGAAGGTATATCAGCTTGTCTATCATGATCCCTATTATTAGAAGCATGGCCAGTTTCCACTCCAGCACCCCAACCTCTGTAAAGTATGATTTTGCTTGGCTCTTGGGATACCAAAACTCCACCTGTTTCTTGCTGCAACAAGTTAAATGAAAATACAGGCTCGAATTAAACAAGAGCAATGGTCAGATAAAAATTTAAAATAAATAGAAAAATCAAACTTCAGTGAACAACTGCACAAACCTCCAATTTGAAAATCACCTCCTGAACTGATGTCCCTTTAGCTCTCCCCTTGACATTGACAATAGCTAGAGGATATTTCTTAAAGTGGTCTTTGATTGCTTTCGCAACACCAGTAACAACATTGCTCTTGCCTGCAAGATAATAACCACAAACAATTTTTGTCAAAAGTTTGGAAGAAAAAAAATTCAAATTGGTGAAGTGGTGAACAGGATATTGTTATAATATTATTCAAGACAGATGTAGAATGAGAGATGAGTGCTATCAACCAAAGAACACATGATGACATCCTTAAATGAGCTTCATTTCTTGAAAAGGTGACACCCCAACCCCATCCCCATCCCCATCCCTCCCTACCCAGGTGTGTTTGTGCCATATTTTGAATTTATATAAATAATGAATGCTTAATGATGGTTGACGTAATACATATATCACAATACAAGAGACAGAACCTCAAACTACAAGCCAAAACTTTTCATACCTACCTATCTGATGAACCACATTTAACAATAAGTAGCTGCACACATTCCTAACATGAGTACATGACACATTCACAGATATAACATATAATTAAAGATCAATGAATCTGAACTAATGATAACCACACAAGACTTCTATCCATTCAAATTAGGTTGGAAATTGAAAGTAACAATATGACTCAATCATGATCTAACATTGGCAAGCACAAGATTCCTTTCTAATACTATAACTCCATGCAGGGCAAGAAATGGAACTATAACAATTGGTACAATTCATCTCACCAACAGCTAGAACTGGACGCCTCCTCGTCTGGAGGGCTTGTTTTCTGAGAAGAAGCCTCTCTTTATTCGTAAGCGGTCTAGTTTTAGCTGGTATTGCCTGAGAATTGCTCTCCGCAGCCTTTTGAAGTGATGGAGAAATTGTCACTTTGTTTACTGATTCGTGAGATGGCTCTAATATCTCATTCTTAGCAATATGATGCTCAATATTGTTTTCTGACACTGATGTAATAGTGGGTTTAGACTCACTGCTGATTGAATGAAACATCACTTCATTGCATGAAGAATTGCCAGAATCACTAGCTGCAACATGAATCATCTCTGAAGAGTTTTTCTGATTTACCAATAAGATGAATAATCATTCAGCACTATTGTATTACTATCAAAGCCTAGTTCAAAGATTAACAATCAAACTCTACCTTAAGATCATCATCACAAAAAGAGACTTCTGCATTGGCCTGTTCCTTTCTCACGGAGTTTGAATTGGTGATTGGATAAACTGAGCCAACTGAAAACTTGTCTGCACCATCATCGGTTTTATCATATAGTGAGGGGAATTTAATCAGCTTCTCCACCTGAACAGGAGTATTATCCTCTTGAGATTCCTTTTTGTTTACTGAAATGATAGAATTTCTCTCTCCCTTTTCCGGCTCCTTCAGTAAAGAAAGCATAATAGAGCAGGATTAGAGACCACAAGTAATGAAGCATCCACTACGAGCAGCCAAAAACCATCTTTGGTGAATAAAAAAAAGGTTGAAAACCACCTATCCTAGTTATTACAGCGCTTAGGAAGCAAGAGTAAAAACCTCAGTAACTTAAACTTGGCAAGGAAAATCAGAGATATCAATAATTCAGGTTTTAATGTATGTGAGGATTTATGGGGTATAGTCGTAGCTTGCTTCAAATGCAGACATCCATACTAATTATCCCCGCCTTTGACAACCAGTAGATCAAGTCTTGCACATTCATGCTCACAGCCTCACACAAGAGACAAAGGAGGGAGGGGCAAATGATGCAGAAGAAAGCATTAAAAAAACTATATATCTTCCAGTGATTTGAAAATGTTGTCAGCCAAGGGAGCAGCATACCGTAGTTAGCAAGCCATTACTTGGGAATTGGGATTGTAGAACAAAAATTGAAGTCCGGGAATATATTTATATAAATATATGACGTATGTAACATTTTAAAGATATGGCAAGCAAATAAGGTTTCTAAGTTTTGAAGAACAGTTAGCCTTTTTATTTATAAAATGCTGACTTATTACCCCCTTCTTTCATCCAGAGTCAGAACATATCACATTTCTTATGTACTACATATATGATTTCCCCTTTTTTCTAAGAAAAGTTGTCTTTCCTACCCAAGCATATTTAAGGCTTGAGGAGATACAGGGAGTTGAGCACTAGAACCAATATTATCCTACTTGAATATTGAATAACATCATCACCAACAAAGTAAATGATATAAGACCTCACTCTTCATTATATAAAAAGTCATTATATAAAAACACCATGAGGCTGGCATTAATCACAACGAAAAAATGAAATTCAACAAATCATGTCTACTCACCAGTTCAGTTTTCACCTGTTCACCTGCTTGGTAATCCAAAGCCTCCTTATCTTCAACCTGATGAGCACACAACTGAATTTTTATGATCATGTCATATGTATGCTAGTGTACAACATAGAAAAGTATGAGAAACTCACCAATTTGAGTTTCAATCTGTCAATGTCTTTAGCTAGCTTCAATACGTTGAGTTTCAAGGACTGCATTATGATTGCAAGTTATCAGTATAACATAATTTCGCATGAACATAGAAGCAATAGGACAGGTCCTCAACTACCAAAACATATATATTTAAACTGAATAGCGTATAAACTCATGTTTTACATCAATCAAGGGAACAATCATCACTCATAAACAAGAACCAAAACAAAGATTCCAAGTCACATGCCCAACTGAACCAAATCTAACCCCTGACTTCATTCAAGATAGGAAGAGAAATTCATTTTTACCTCACGACGTTGGGCTTCTATTGAACGTTTCAATGCTTCTTTCTTGTTCAGAAGTGTCTTAGGTCTCAAACTAGCTGGGCGTTGGTAGTTCTTACCACGGTATACAATGATTGCATGACCTTTTCTGGCTCTCTCAACAGCCACTAATACTCCACCACTTTCTGCCTCTAGTATACGTGCTATGTTGTTTATTTCTTCAATGCCGGTTCCTCCACATATTATCTTTACAAGTTCTCTGTACTTCCAGTGCAGATGCATGTTCTCAATTGTGCCATCAAAAACACCACGTCTACCTGAAAAAAAGAAAAACAGAAGAGAACCATAAAAACAACATCCAACTATCCAAGTGGTTAGGCCTTCCAATTTATATGACCTGTACTTTTGATTAGCTGGTTTCTATTAATAACGTTTATTCATCAGCCATTACTCTCACCCAGCAACAAAAAAGGCTTCATCCTCAAGCCAACTCTCCTGAGCATGTATCTCTCTTCCTCCGTGATTCCCTCTTTATCCACCTCTACTTGTTGAGAATTTTCAGCCTGCTCCAGATCAGAAAGAAGCTTCTCTGCCTTTGCTTTCTCTTCTAGAGCCTGTAACAACAAAATCCCAGAGCAGCTAAGAAAGCGAACCTCAAGTGAAAACTTTCCATCTTTTTGAATGCTTACCGTGGACAGCTTCCTGCTAGTTTTTGAAATGGTTGTTTGAATAGACATGTTTTTTTGCTCCTGAAGCTCAATTCTAATTTCTTGGTCCTTGCTTGTCTCACTTACAGAGGCAGCAGTATGCTCTTCAGTATCCAATTCAATGTTCTCGGTATTTTTAGTTAAAGAACCATTAACCACCTGTCCGTCTCCTTGCATTCTATTTCTCCGCCTCTGTTCAATTGCTGAAGAAACTGCTGATGGAAGGAAATCTTTTCCCCGGTAGAACACTATGTACTCCTTATCCCGGGACAACAGGACACCACCAGTCAAGCGCTGCAAAATTGATTACCAAGATAAATTAAAACTCAAGGACGATAAGCTCAGCTATATAAATTAGTACACAAGGTAAGTAAAAGGCAAATCCAAACAGTTGCCAGTTGCTTCCAAGGCACCCCATAGAATGGGATACAGGTATACAGCCATATATCCAAGATTTTAAAATTGGTCATAATTGCATCAGTTGTTTGATAAATGCATCAGTTTATATCAAAAAAAGTTACATTCTAACTCTTCCACTTTTGATAATTGGCTCGTGATTGCATAATGTTTTTATGATTTTTAACATGAAAGTGATGTTACCATCACTAACCTTTAACTCTTCGGCCATAAGCTCACTATTAGTGTTCTGAACTCCTCTTTTTACAGCAACCTTGGCAATCTCACATTTCTCCCACAGTTTAAGAATTGCAGCAGCTAATCCCTGGAGGTTCCTGTTTCTCCCTAAAAGAAGAATTAACAACTTAGCATTAGCATCACAAGAGTTGGCTATTAAAGAAATAATTTGAAGAAGACTTAAAGGTCCATAAATTACTTGGAAAAAAAAAAACATGAAATACTCCAATCTACAATATTTGGTAGGTTGTAATGAATCATAGAGAAATTTGGATATTGGCCCACAGGGACATAGGAAACAGTAACCAAAAAATTACAAATGTTTTAAATGTAGGCAAAAACATGATCATAAAACCCATAACAATAAACATAATTGAGCAAAACATCAATTATTCTTTTAAGGCATAAGTATTGTCAAACAACTAGCTACAATTTATATCTTTATAAGATTAAAAAATATCATGAAGAATGTTTTATAAGACACTACCACAAATTACCTGTAGTGGTCTGAGATGAATTAAAAGGCATGTCCAAAATGTGTTGATATACTATGCCTCCTTAAGGTGTACGTGTTACTTAGGTGGGTTGCCACTTTCTTCAAGCATTTATGCATATATTTTGCAGAAGCAAGCATACAAATTCAGAAAGCAGGACAAGGGAAAGTCAAGGGGAGGAAATTATTAATCTCACCTAAAGCAAAATGGCAAGGAAGTGGTCGTCCCAGTCTCTTGAGTATCGTCATCTCATCATTAGTTAATTGAGGCTTCACTCCATATGGAAGAAGGCGAAAGGGTCTCTTGTACCCAGGAACAACAGCTGGAAGAAGGTCTGCATCAATAGGCAACGGCTCATAACCCCACCAATCTGTAAATCGAGGACCCAATCCATCTAACAAACGATCAGCCTCCTCCACAAGTTGGCTTTCACCAGGCAAAAGGAATCGCACCCTGCCTGGACTGCCAACACCTGGTACCAAGGAAGACTCACCCAGATTTCTTGTTGAACTTTGTCCAGTAAATCTCTCATCAAGCATCTCAGATGACGTCTCTTCTTCTCCGGCTTCCATCCCATCATCTACTTTAACTGCATTTTCAGAACTGTTATAGCCAGATACTTCATCCAGTGAGAAGTATGGATACTTGTAATTGACACCTCTATACAAAACAATTTTGCTTCCAGTCCTCCAAACAACTATGCCTCCAGTTTTTTTCTAGGGACATCAAATTAAGATAAAACAATCAGCAAACTTAATATGCAGGGAAAAAAAATGAGGGGAGCGGATAAAGGGGAGGAGGGCAATTGATTAAAAACAACAAAAAAAAAACATACACCAAATTTAGGTTTCATGGGATTTACTGTACACAGCAACCTTTTTAACCCATATTCACATTATTTGATCTTACCACAAGTCCACAACTAAATATCACCCATATGTGCCGCCTTGGAGCATTCGTGTCTATCTAAATTAATCATCATCTAAGATTTGGTAGCTCAACAATGTCAAATCAGTAACCTATTGACAAGCGTCTTGATGTCCCCAAAATAGCAGCAATACCTCATAATCAAAAGGAACCCAGACTCCTTGTTCATAATTTCATTGCTCAGTTTTGCTACAAATAGCTACACCATCTTAGACAAACTAAAACCATACTTTGGATGCTACCCTCGTACTACTAAAAGCTTTCTATCTATTATTTCATTGATAGCCAATGAGAAAACAGCAGAAGAAATCCAGTAATAACGAAGTCACAGAATAGAACTTATATAGTTTCCTCAAATCAACCCCCTTTTTGTTAAATTTGCACTCATCTTAAACCAGCTTAAAACCATGTATATACTGTCCTCAACCTATAAATTTCGAAAACCGTGCTATTAATCTCACAAGCTACAATTTCATAATACTAACATTACTATGACTATCATAAGATTCATAACAACAATCCACCAAACAACCACCAAAATCACATTAAAATAAATCATAGTAATCCACATTATGCTAATATTGCAATTAAAATGCACAAAATTTAATCACATTAATCAATTAGTAACTTGATCATATCATTACCTCTAACAAATCATGGGTCCTCTTCATATTAAGCCTACATATATCCTCACAAACAATTTTAACCACCTCACTACTTCTCCACCTCTCATGAATTCCATTCAAAACTCCTTCTGTAATCCCTGCTTTCCCCAACTTCATCTTCTGCTTCATCCGAATCCCAATCGTCGTCAACCTCCGAATCTCCGACCGCGACAATGTCAGCTCCGCCAAGCTCGGCTCTTTCTCCTCCTCCCTCTTTTCTCTCTCCTCCTTTCTCTCCTTCGTAACCACCCTTTTCAACCCATTTATCTTAACAATGGCGCCCCCCGAACCCGGGTCCGGAACCGGGTTCTGGGGCGATGACCAACTAGAATCAAGAGTATGCCCAACTCGAAAATTAGGGATTTGGCGGGAATTAGGGATGAAAATTTTCCCAATTTCAGCATCATTCTGATCTTCTGGCAAATGGGTATCTCTTTTTCTTTCTTCCTCGAATCCTAGGGTTCGTAATTTCTCTGCTATTCGTTGAATTGCTGATTTTGGGAGGGGTTTTTCGTTGTTGCCGGCACTTGGTCGGAGCTGAGAAATTAGGGTTCTTCGAGGGTATTTGATGAATGGGTGTTTATTGGGGAAGCGAAGAGAGAGAAGGTGTTGGTGATGGTGGTGAAATGAGGTTTCAGAGGAGAGAGAAAAATGGTGGAAAGATAAGAGAAGTGACATTTTTGTTTGGAGGGAAGCTATTCTTCCTTAGGAAAGCGGGAAAGGATAACGGTGATTTTAAAGATCGTCATTGAAGGCCCAATTTGCAAAGAGTGAGCATGGGTCAGGTAATACGAACTTTGGGTACCTGAATTTTCAAATCGGGTAGTTATTATGGTATCCCGTATCATTCAACACTGATTAACCATATTAGTGTATCATCTCAACTAAATCAATACGAGTAATGAGGTAATTATGTAATTGTAAAACAACTACAGTAGTCCTTTAGTTTAGCTCGTGCAACGCACAAGCTTGTGTTTTTTTTTAGAAAAAAATAAAAAATTGATTTTAAAATGTTTTTTTTTTTTTTAGAAAAAGATAAAAATAAAAAATAAAAAAAAAATTGTTGCATTATCTTTTGAGCAATTGTAGATCACGTAGAGCATTTCCATTAGCCGTGCATACCACTCTCCAATTTTTAAAAATAATATATAAATCTTGAAAATTTCCAAGCAGTGTTGCTCAAGTGAGCAGTGCTGCTCTTCCAAGCAGGTATGTCAATTTTGTTCCAATAGTCAAGCTACAGTTTTAATATTTTTAAATATTGCAAGCAAGACCTTAAAACTAACCATTGGAGATGCTTTAAAAGCAAGCAACTAAGGCCATAATAATCCGTATAGTCTTCTCTCTGAAATTCTGACTCTGAGTTCCATCCAATTTCCTCAGAAGCCATGTCCGACCTTCCGCCGGAAATAATACTCTTAATTCTGGAGTACTTACCACTAAAATCACTCTTGCGTTTCAAAAACTTGGAATTCTCTAATCTCCAATCCAACCCCTGAATTCACCATCCGTAATTTCAACAATTCAGTTATCCAGAACAACACCAATACCATTGCCATCTTCAACAACAACTCGTCACTCGAGGCGAAAGAGTTCAACCCCATCAAATTCCATAAAACAATGGTTTGATCTGCCTCTACCAGACTTGTTGTATATTCGTGACATCGAGGACTTGCACGCTTTAGATGGGTGTTTATGCCTAATGGTTACTCAGCTTTATTATGGATTCAATGAAAAAGTATGGTATTAAAAGATCATGGACTCCATTATTGGGTATACCTAATATAAGTATTTGCCGGCCTTTGCTTACGCCACCAATTGCTTTTTCTAAAGATGGTTATGGAAATGAATTTCTAGTGAGACAAGGTAGTAGGCATTTTAGCTCTCCATGTGAATTTCGCTGGTTTAATTTGAAGGACAAAATCGTTAGAAAGTATTTTATGCCTTGGGATGTCATTGTTTGTTCTGGAAGCCTTATTCGTGTTCCTAATGGAGTACCTGATAACTCACAATGATTAGGAAGCTCGTACGTTGGTGTAGCAGGGTATCATGCTAATCTCTTATGTCATCTTAAGAGCTTTCCAGGTTTTGTATGTCAGACAATCTAGTTACCTTAAGAGTCTATTGCTAATAATCACTTGTGTTAGTTGTTTTAAGAACTCTCAATGAGTCTTTGCTAATTGCTTATTTTGTCATAACTATTGGGCTTAATTATTTAGTTCACATCACTGTGCTTAATTGTGTCTGATCTATTATCTTTTGTTGTGAATGGTGTAGTAGATTTTCAGAGTAGAAATAAAGATAAAGAGTCGAATGGCTCGTTTGATGTATACACCGTGAAGATGGAATGTAGTTCAACTAACTTACATTTGTTTTCCCCTGAATTAGTCTTGTATTCTTATTGATTTCAGACTCAACACCCTTAAGCTCATGTTAATTTGCACTGGTTATATTTGTGAAACTTGAAGGTGGTGCTTGTTAAGTTAGTGCACCTAGTCTTTTCAATGGTTACTGATTTGAGGTGCTTCATTTATTTTCTTAAAACGTAGTTATTCTCTCTAGTAGTCTAATCTGTAGCTACAACACAGCAGCTTGCAGCGTTTCATATCGTTATTAAAAAATTAGACTTATACAGAAAATAAAAACTAAAATTCAGTCCAATCCGAGTTCAAGCAAAATTGGTCCAATCTCTGGTTCGTAATTTTTTTTATTAAAGTTTCGATCTTGGACCGGTGAATACAAAAAAGCCTACACCCTTGAAGTGGTTGGATTAGTGATTGTGTAGTGTTTTGTTTCAGAAGCCATTTTTACCAAATTCTAATATCATCCCTCCCTTATTTTCAATACTTTTGACTATCACACAGGTTAGTTCATAGCTTTCACCATAAATATTTGCAATTACTCCGTGTGTATATATGTATAACAAATAATTATACTCTAATGTAAGATCTTGTTCAAATTGCACTATAATATTGTAGAGTCTTTGTAGGGAATAATTTCAAGCCTTTAATCCCACTAGCTTGAACCCCACTCTGATCATACACTAAAGTACAGTGGCGTCCAAAAGGGAAGAAGATAGAGCAAAAGAGTCGCCAACAAGTTTTTAGGAACTTGTAAACCGTTCACGAGGTGAAGGTTACACCCCTTAACGATCCAAGAGATCGTCAACTCCATAAGGTCTAGAACCAAATAAGGGTTCGGGGATGAAGGTACAAATCCAACCTAAAAAGAGATTGAACCTGCCCTAATAATAGGCCTCTACTTTATTCTGATCGTATTCATGTGCGCTTTCTGATTAACATGCAATCAATAGGATTAACCCTAAGCCTGTTTATCTATGTTGGTTAAATATTAATGCACAAATAAATCTATTATTGGCGATCACTTGAAATATAATCATATTAACCCTAACAAGATTATTAATTATCTTATTAAGCGTGATTACAAGTACCAATTCCCTTTAAACGTGCAATAAAAGGTGTGATTAGGCAATAATTATAAATAAGCATCAAGCAACACAATAAATAATCATGAATAATAATTATCATAATAACAATCATATTAACCATAATAATAATCATGAATCATGTTAAAGCATAATAAAAATAGCAAGATCCTAGGCATGATACTAACAAGATTAATAACAAACCTTAGCATGTCACTAAGCAATAAAAATCAAATCTTTAACCCTAACATGATACTAGCAATCATAAATATTAGGAAGAACATAGGAAGCATCGCAGGAATCATATTTAATATTAAAAATACCCTAAACATGATACTAGGAATATCATAATAACAATATAAACATGATGTCTACATCATAATATCAATTAATCAATTAAATTACTTACTTTGATGCCTCGTACGTCTTTCTAATAACAAAATACACACGTTAGTAACTTCAAGGAAAATAATAATCAAGCAATTAAATTAAATAATTAAAACAGAGATTTGGGACCAATCCCTCAGAAATTAAAACCTTTCACGTCTAGGGCGAAGACAACTTTGAATATGGCTAGGTGTTTCTAGATCTTGCGAATGCGGAATTTTGTATGAAAAGGCAAAGGTTTGAAAGAATTGAATGTTTGTTTTAAGAGAGATGAATGATTTAGAGAATGCTAAAGAATTAATGATTCTTGATGATGAATGAAAACAATTGGTGAGAATTGGTGAATGATAGCTGTAGATGATAAATGGTGAATGAAAACGGAGTTTTTAATACGATATTTATAGAGAAAATCAGCCAAAAAAGATAAATTAACAAAACATAGTCTGACGCTCAGAAAACAGGGCTGGCGCCAATCCTGGCTAGCTGGCGCCAGGCACCACCACTAGCGCCAGGCCTGGTTCCAGGCGCCAAGGCCTGGGATTAGGCGCCAAGCCTGATACCAACGCGTTTTCGAAAATCCGATAAGCTTATCGTACTGGAGGATAAAATAATATAATTTCTTCGAAAATGCTATTTGATTTTGATTCAAACTCTGAAAAGTCAACAAAAGTCAATTTATCAATGCTAATTGAATTAGGAATGAAAAGAACCTTCTAGAAGAATCTAAAAGACTAAAACTATTCCTAATTGCATTAGGAATGATAAATCATATTAGGCCCTCCCCAAGATCATTGGGCCGTACATAAAGCTCAAACCGGGCCCAGTTTAGTAAATTGGCCATAACTTCCTCAATATTTATCGGAGTTGGGCTTATAATATATCGTTGGAAAGGTCTTTGCAAGCCCCATCCAACTGCACTACTATTGGACCCATATCATGGACCAACCAAACTGAATTGGCTGTTTTCTTAAAATAAGGTTTTCAAAAAACAAGGAGAAGAGAAAAGAAAATAAAACTTTCCGTAACACTAGACTTTCCACACTTTCGGTTCATTCGATTATGATTCGACGTGAAAGGTACTCATCATTTGGTTTTGAGGAGACACAAATGGGTGTCTACAGTCTTCATCTTTGTATATATATATATATATATATATATATATATATATTTATGATAAGGAAAAGGGTCCTATCAGGCCGTAACCTCTCACAAATCAACTCGATACAGATTAGCGGGCTAGGCTCTTTAGTAGTGAGGAGAAGGGGCGGTGAGATGACAATTGAGTGAATTGACAAACGTTTTCATTTTAGACCAAATTTTGCTTTGTAGTATGTTTTAAGAAGCGTCTTTGTAACAAGTGTATAATAACAACTTAAGACGTGGCAATTCAAAACAAAGAGAGTTTGTCAGTTAGTAGTCAAAAAAAAGTTGGAATTGCATCTCCCTCGTATCAATCCTAAAAAATCTGGCATCCAAGAAGCCATTATCATGTCTGACATTCCACCAGAAATAATCAGCTCAATTCTTGAGTATATATCACTTAAATCACTCTTCCGTTTCAAATGTGTTTCCAAAACTTGGAATTCTCTAATCTCAAATCCAACCCATGAATTCACCATCCATAATCTTCAACTACCAAAAGATCCAAAACCAATGGTTTCTCAACCAAAGACTTAACAATAATTGGTTGTTCTTCCTTTTCCACTACCTCTATATCTTCATTCCAATAATTTTCACCATCAGAATCATAAAGAGATGAAAGATTATTCTCTTCTATTATACTTTCATTTGACGGGGAGTAAATATCATGAGTCGAATCAATGCTTTCCTCCACTGAAATACAATTCTCAAAACCAATATCATTATCATCATGTATCACCTGTTGGTTAGTATATTGTTGCACAACAAGTAATTCAATAGATTTTGAAATACGTTGACAATCATGCATCAATTCATTAAGTTCTTCATGCTGATTAACAATAAACTCATTCATCATATTGAAAAGTTCCATACACTTCGATGAATTGGATTGAGTATAATTATCCACTTGGGGTTGGTAAGAGGAATTAAAATCAGGCATATAAGACTCATTAGGGTAATAAGAAATTTCACAGGAATTCATGCACATATTTTGTGAATTTTGATAATCATATGATGCATCAAACATAAAAACATTAGCATTACAATTCTCGAAATTATAATCATATTGCCCCTGGTAATTAATATCATTCATCCCATACGAATTATAATCATACCACGCCATGATGAAAAAATCAGAGTAAAACAAAAAAGAAGTATATACAAATAAATAATAAAA